GAAGCGATACGTACTGCTCGTTGCAGGACTGTTCTTCATGATGATGGGCATGTGGATACCGGTCTTCTACCTCCCAGTCTATGCCGTCAGCCGTGGTATGAAGCCTTTACTCGCGTCGTACCTCCTCGCCATGATCAACGGGTCCTCCACGTTTGGTCGCATTATTCCGGGGATACTCGCGGATAAGCTGGGCGGGATGAATATGTTCGGTTTCGCCGGCATTGGCACCGCCATCGTGGTGTTCTGCATCAACGAGCCAACGACTAACGCTGGTATCATTGTCTACTCCGTCATGTTCGGTTTTGTATCGGGTACCATCATATCGGCTGGCTCGGCAGCCATTTCCAAGTGTACAAAGGTAAGTTGACTGTACGAGATGCATGAGACATACACTGACTTCGTCTCTTCACCATTTTAGGACCCGAGGAATCTTGGCACGTACATGGGTATGGGTATGGGTGTTGCAGCGTTCGCTGTTCTCGTCGGCCCTCCAATCAACGGCGCGTTCATCGATCGGTACGGCGGGTTCAAAGAAGTGTCGATTTTCAGTGGAGTGATGAGTTTGATGGGTGGCCTTATTGCACTGTCTGCTAAATTCGCCACCACGGAAGGTATCTTGGGGAAGGTCTGAAAGGGTGTGGCGAGGGATTGAAAGGTGTGGCGAGGGATCTGTCTTGTGGAAGGCGAAGAGGATTGTTAGCATAGATGTAGGGCTTCAGCTTGAAGGGAATTAATTAGGTGGTCATAGATTGAATTGATTGTCATGTCAGAGGGTATGAAACATTGAACCCGTTACGCCAGATAACCGTAATGAAAACCTGTACATCATCAGCGGCAGCCGATCCTCACATGTAGGATGTCTTGGTAGCCATTCTCTTCCGATCTGCCCTCGCGACGGCACATGCGCTCGTCCCAACACACGCGTAAGCGTGTACAGGTGCGCGGTGGTGCGTGAAGCCTTGTGTGCGCGTAGCCTATCTGGCTCGTCTATGCCGGGATGGGCTCGTAGGTGTTGTGGGCTTGGCGGTTGGAGAAGAGGTAGTAGATGATCATGCCGACGACGGGGAAGAGGAAGACGACGAGGGCCCAGAGCACTTTGTTCGGGACGGGACGGTTGGACTTGAAGATCTCGACTAGAGCACATGTTAGCTTTGTTCGATGCGCGACAACCGTGCTGTCAAGGGCGTTGTGGGTAATTACTCCACGCGATAATGTCGAGGACGAGGACGATGAATCCAATGATGCCGCCACCGGTGCCAGCTTGCCAGGGCTTAGCTGACTGCGCCGTAATGGGAGCTGCCTCGGCGAGCATGAACATGGACAGCTGGAGGAGCAGAGAGAGCACGAAGTTCATCATGATGGCGGTGATGGGTGAGGTAAGACTGGGGTGGACAAGATGAAGCGTGAATGGGTGCAGTGAGAGGGAGGAGGCGAGTGTTGCGGTGTTGACGGCTGCTGCCTTCTATATGAGAGCGGCGGGGCGGAGCTTCAGCTGTTTGATGTCCGCACGGACCTACGTCACTGGAAATCCCACTGTCACGCGACACTCTTCCAAGGTACACATGCATCATCCCGCAGGAGAGGAGGTATATCACTATTCTTAACACACGCAGCGCGTCTGTACCCGTGCTTACTCTGCGCATTCTCGTCGCCCACCAAACAAGCAAAGAAAAGGTTCGAAAGACGCGTGAGTGGCGCGTTGGCCTCAGCCACACAGCCAGCCTCGAGGCCTTCCAGCGGCGAACATCACCACTTTTCCGACTGTCTCTGCCCGATCGATCATGCGGCATCACGAACTTCGTCTCGCGGCACCCCTTGAGTTCTCATGCTCCACCTATTCAGGCGGGCTTCATCTGCGGCGTCCTTGTGCACGTCGGCCAAAGCGACCAACTCTGCCAGTAGAGTCTTGACTTTGTCTCCAGAGGTCTTGAAGAGCATCTGGGAGCTATTTCTCTCTGCCCGTGATGCAAGTGCACTCGCGCGTCTGGTATCGCAGATTACACACGCTGCTCTGTCGACTTGGATACTTGATCCATTATCCTCGCCTCAAAGTCAACATCACAACAGGCGAACTTGATCAACTTTGCAAGCGGATGCTTCAAGCTTCTTCGAATCATTAACGGTCTCGCCGCCACCTACCAACATTAAGGCGGTAGTCGAAACACACAACACAAACATGATAGACGTCATGCGACAAGTACATGGTTAGCAGCTCCAGGTATAGTATTATGCCAACAATTTGATGGTAAAAGGTGAGTGCTATTTGTGTCATTCCTCTCGCCCAGCACAAATCTAGTACTTGTGGCCCTTGACTACGATTTTGCCACCCTCACATTTCAGACTAATCTCCTCGCCGAAGGTGTAATACCCATGTTGGTCAGCCTCTGGGACCGGCTTTGGCGATGGGGGTAAGTGCTCTTCTTTGGGAGGTGCTGGATGCGTCTCCTGGGGCGGTGCTGGATGCGTCTCCTGGGCCGGTGCTGGATGTGTCTCCATGGGAGGTGCTGGAGGAGCTGGATGCGTTTCCTTGGGCGGTGCTGGATGTGTCTCCATGGGAGGTGCTGGAGGAGCTGGATGTGTTTCCTTGGGCGGTGCTGGATGCGTTTCTTTGGGGGGAGCTGGAGGAGCTGGATGCGTTTCCTTAGGCGGCGCCGGATGCATCGTCTCCTTGGGCGGTGCTGGATGCGTCGTCTCCTTCGGAGGTGTTGGATGCGTTGGCTGCGGCATAGGCGGGTGAGGCTTGTAGCTGCCGTCATCGTGATCGTCATTGTCTTCTTCTGGAGCTGGATGCTCGGGTTTTGGGTGCTCAGGTTGCGGGGCTGGATGTGTTGGCTGCGGCATAGGTGGGTGAGGCTTGTAGCTGCCGTCATCGTGGTCATCTTTCTCGTCCTCTGGAGCTGGATGCTCTGGTTCCGGCTTCGGGGGTTGAGGCTTGTAGCTGCCATCATCATGATCGTCTTTCTCCCCCTCTTCTTTGGGTGCTTCGGGGTGCTCCGGGCTCGGCTTTGGCGGCTCTTCGTTCTTGTGCTCGTCACCCTTAGGCGGCTCGGGATGGTAGTGCTCGTCGGGATGCTTGCCGTCCTCTATAGGCTCGGGTACGTGGGGTACCTCCACCTTGGGAGGAATGCAGACCTTGCCATGATCGTACTTGTCGCGCTGCTCACAGCACTTCTGGTACTCATGGGCTTTCACATCATCACCACGAACGGCGATGGGCTTTGCAGCGGCTGTGAAGGCCAAGATGGCAACGACAGCGGCTTGTGTAAGGCGCATGATGATGGTCAATCCAAGAGATTAAAATGACTGAGTTTGTAGTGAACGAGATATGAACGGTAGATAGCTGCTGCGACCAGTTCGAGATGAACGAGAGATATCCGCTTGGTAGCTGATGTCGAAACAGCGTACTTCATCTCTCTCACATAAATACCTGGGCTGTGATAGAGCTACCCCGTCTCGCTCTGACGGCTTGACCCTCTCCTAGGCAATTGCTTGCACAATTATGTCTCACAGTATTGATTTTCGATGTTGGAGACGCCCTACTGTCTTGGAGAACATAGTGTTGGCTTCCACCACATAGCCGAAGTACCGTCATGGCACTCCAGTCCTGAAGCTATTCATATTAGCCCATCTCGAACAAGCTCGATACGAACGTGATGAAGTCATAAGTTCTTGATGAACGCCCTCAACTGGCACGGTGGTGAAGCAAGTGTCGTGACCGCGACGCAGGGAAGTATTGCCCAGTACTGCTTCATGGTCCGGAGCTTACTCCAAGGCATACAGACGGCTCATTTTGAGATGTCTTGGGGAGCTTGTCGTGACGACTGCAGCAGAAGCTTGATTTGCCTCGTATAGTTGCCTTGGCCCACCATGCTGTTGGTTAGGGCAATTGCATACATCGCATACGAGACTTTCGATCACCATGCGCGAGTCCATCTTCCAAGCCACCATCGGAAAAGGGAACAGGAGCTATTTGAGAGGTTGAGGAGTGAAGCTCCTCTACCCGAACAAAGCCATACGCGGGGTAGTGCCTTGGCGACATGACACATGGAATTGCCGGACTGGGTCGGCACTGCTTCCCCTTCCCTCGTCACGGCATCTAATAGGTTTCTTGGTGGGCGATTACCCATTCTGGCGGATCAACAGGTACGCACTCCAGACTACAGCCTACCGACGAACTCTCGTTGGCGCATACATTAATACGCGTGGAGACTACTTACACTTTTACTTCATCAACTCATGCGTCAATACTGCGGCCGCGCGAAGTTGCGGAGTGTACTTGAGTAAATCTGACGTCAACGTCGCAGACACAGTAAGCCCCCTTCCATGACTGCAATACATCTCAGCGTTGAACACTGTACTGGAGTTAATAGTTTGATACTAAAGCCGTAGATCGTCTTGGCTGCCCAGGTCTCAAGAGGCTACCACGACGTGGCTGATCTGCCAAATCCAGGCCTGTATTTATGTCCAAATATACACACGGTCTAGCAGTAGCGGTTTGTTTGATTGGCATTGGCTCTGCAATTAAGTCGGATAGTGCATAATGTCCAATTACTCATCGTTTTCCACGTAGAGGCTAAAACCTAGAAGGAGCGAATATGTCAGACCATGTTGGCTTCCCAGCGCTGACTGGGAAGACATCGCGATCGATCGATGCAAGGCCACTTCCATTCATGTAACTCATTGAGGTAATGAACTTGGACTATTACATTATTCCACTTCTAGTGCTGAGAATACCCATCGCGTATTCGGCACTGTGCCGTTCCCCGAAATCTTTTCGATCTTGGAAGTGTGGGGCTTACAAGTGGAGTAGTAAATCCGGGGTATAGTTCTAGTCGCCTGAGTACGCTTTTGATGATGAGGTGAGGTAGCCAGATGTTCCGATCTTCCGTTTAGCGTTCGGATCCGTTGAAGCCGGTCTTCGCCAAGGTCTTAGACTATCTAGGTACAAGGACTCATTGCGTTAGAGTTCCGGATAGCTGCCATGCTACCCTTGTGTTCGTTTAGTGGCCTTCCAGTTGCGAATCCTTTGTCTGTTCCGGTCCGATGGAGTGGGTTGACCAGGTATCACCATTCTATCTGTATCACGACCAGACGTGGTTGGAGAAGCCACCAGAACGCCCCGCTCTTGTCGCCAGTGACCTACCGGTCCGAACGCGGCGATTATGCGGATGATGTCGAGTAACATTAGAGTATTTGCCGGAGCTTCGTGGGCGGTAACATCTTCGATTCCAAACAATGTCCTGTATATTCCAGTTAAGGTGCTGCCGTCCCGTGGCGCGCTCTTCAGCATGCTCTTCGCCACATGTTGGATGTTGACTGTCTGCAGGCATGTGTAGCTGTTCAAACCGCTCCAGCTGGAAGTTTTCTTTGAGCGTCGGGGCTACGAATGGTCCGTCAATTCCAAATAATACTTTCCAGAAAACTTGAAGGTCGAGATTTGTGCTGTAGGAAATGACGGCGTGCGTTATTGGGTCGAAGCCTGCTTTCAAGATGATATCTTGCATCTCGCTAAATTCGGTGCCGAAGGCCATACCTCCGGGACAATAGCGCTGGAAAGCGTTTCTGAAGCTGTGCTCGGTTAGCCTTTTCCGCATGTCTGGAATGTGTTGAATCGAACCCATTCTCAGTGCGCTTGTGGAGCTGGAAGCCATATCGGGACACTTGTCGTGATACTCTTCAATCATCTCGTCTGCGGTCAGCTCTCCGTGTCCAACCCGCGTGTTGAGAACATTACGCCCCGTTCTGAAGTCTTTGATCGCAATAGTAAACGCAATGTGGGTTGCGAAGTTGAGCACGTCAAACTCAACGTCCAACGCCTATATGTGACTCGCGTTCTTCTGGCATCCCGCGACCCACAGAGATTTTGCGAAATTGACATGAGTCAGACAATGACGAAAGCCTACCAGAGCTGGCTCTAAACAGCTGAAGACCGGGCATTGATCTTGTTCCAGGTGAGGCTGGAGTTCTGGCTGCGGGCGCTTCGCTAAACTCCTTCCCACCGAGAACTGCGCGTTGGAGTCTTCTGCTGGGTCGTTTGCGAGGTTAGCTGAAAGCTGATTAACGATGACGCTGTCCTGTATGACTTGGGACGACTTCTGCGCCCATTCGTCCGGAACCTCGATCTTCTCTTCACTCTCTCGCAATGAGGATGACGACCTTGCCCGAAAGCCTGCGGTACTTGCCTGTTGGGTGCGTGGTCGTCGTCGTCCAGCCTCTGGTGACAGTCTTCCGCCCGCATCTGTTTTCTTCTGAGCCTTGCTTGTCGCCCCGAGCGGTGCTTCATCGGACGCTTGACCCAGGGAGCCATCGTATTCCTGTGCGGCTGCGCGATAGAGACCTGTCAGCTCGTCCACGTCGCCTATAGTCAGTTCGTTGACATCAAGCAGATCTGGACGTTGTCGAAGGTAGTCGACAAGGCTCAACCTTTCCGCATCCGGTTTGCCGTCGATGGCTGTGTGGTAGCTTTGTAGCAGGCCTATCGCGCTGCGGAGATCCACTCTCGGAGCACCAGACTTGTTGTGTTCGGTGGCCGGCGGCATCTTGTCCTAAGATGACCTCGCGGCTTGCAACGATGGTAGCCGCTTGTTCGTAATAAGTCGAATGATGGCGGTAGAGAATGTAGACGCACTTTGACCTACTTAGATATCATGCTTCGTGAGCTGACGCGAAATGATTAGCTACGCGTTAGATCGAATTGGCCTGGGGGCTCGGAAACAGCCGCCGGTCAGAAGGTAGACCGCTACAGGGGTGCTGCTTCGTTATGCAGCGCGCCGACACGCCGCCCGGGACCCAAAGTTGCTGCTCTTTACAGACATGCAAATGAATTGAGCCAATTGACCCTGTGCCAGGCGATTGATGGCACATACGAAAGCAAACTCGGCAGCAACAAGGTTGAGTTATGGAAGAACATTGCCTGCAGCACACGCATACAACGAAAGATGAGAGACATGGAGTTGGGAGTAGAGGAGACTAGGATAGAGAAGGACAATGGAAAGAGCGGCAGTTATCTTTTTCAGGTTACAGCCCTGGAGTAGTAGAGATAATGGGATAAATTGAGGAATCGGATTGACAGATCAAGTTCCCTGTCTACGGCACGTTTCCAGGAATTGTGTCGATAGCCTTGACGAGAAAATGGCTTCGACTCAATCATCCAGAAGCCATTGTTCGCAGCACAGCCCCTCGACGGTATCCACTCTGTCTTGAAGCAGACATCCTCCGCTGTGGCGAACTTACTGAAAAGTGCAAAGAGCACCTTCCATGCGCTCTTCATTTGTCTCCTATCCTCCCACACGTGGTGACTCTGGTAGACATTATATATCTCCGGGGTTATCCACAAAGGAGAAGATCACGCCTCAACCAACGAGAGCTTGCGTCAGAAGCCTCTCCTGCCCACTCAGGTAATTGCGTTTTTCCAACCAGCGAAGTTTCCCCTTTGCCCTTTTCGAACTCAATTTCACCTGAGCCCCCTTCAAGGCGCTGGGTACGTCCTTCGCTATCTTCCCCACATCCTCGACGTGCTTGACGACACTCTTGCCCACCTTGCCTGTTGTAGCCTTGAATCCATCCTTGCAGACGGTCTCGATGACCTGTATAGTTGATCGGCGGCGGGTTCTTGGCTCGACACCGAAGAAGGGATAGGGATCGAATGCTACGTATTTCGGCGGCGGATCATGGTTGGTTACGTCGTCGTATTGGTGCGGGGATGTTTGGGGTCGACATGGATCATCGTGCTCAAGCGCTGCCGCTGCCGCTGAAGAAGCGAGTGGGAGGCTGGTAGTGCGCTGGTGTATGCCGTGAAGCATAAATGGCCCAGGTCGATGCAGCGCAAGGTTGTTCTCGCTCGCAGTAGCGCTTGGGAGATATAACCCAAACCGCCGCGCATCACTGACACCACTACTATGAGCTGACCTTCTCCGCGGCCCGGACTCAAGTACCGCTGTATGTATTCCTGGTATATCTGCGATAGCTGCGAGGGTTCGAGTTCGAGGCGAAGGCTGAATGGGAGGAGACTCGGGAGAGGAAGGAAGGGCCGTATCGGGCGAAAGGGGACCTGGCGGTAGGGTTGTCGCGTCTTGTAATGTCATAGCGTGAAGCTCATCTCGTAAGGCATCCACTCTCGCATGTCTTCCAATGCTACTAGCAGATGAAGGCAGCTGCGAGCTTTCATTGAACGGCCACATTGGGGTTGCCCACCTGCTGTTGATGTTGGGCGAAGCGGGAGAAGCAGCTCATGAGAGGAGGCTGCCTGGAGGAGGGGTGAAGAGGAAAGCATTGCGGGGTGTCGCGCCATGGTTATGCATGTTGTAATTGCGATAGCCGGCTCCAGCAGGAGAGTTGGCTCGCAGTGGTTGATGCAGAGTGGTTCTGGTCCGCTAAGTCGTAGTGTCCGGCTTGTATCCTGCGCGTCGCATCGAGACTGTCGACGGTGCTCTAGATCTCGAATGCTCTCCGGAGGGTGCCGTCCGGTCCGGTCTGCTCGTACACGGCGGGTGCGCGCGTGTGTGTACGATGGGCGAGAGATGGTGTTGGAACCAAATGACGACAGCTCCAGCTACCTCGGTCCTCTTAGCAAAAACCACGCCCTCGCAGCGACCTGAAGCGCTACCCTCTCACCAACACGACACAAGACAGTACAGTCATCATCGCTACGCGCTTTATTCTATCGTACTAGAACGATTGTTTAGATCCTTTTCTCAACTAATTGAAGGCCTAGGTACCTTGGTGTGCTTCCTGCAACGCTGTTAGCATCGAAACGAGCGGCGCAGGCTGACGGACGCGCCACTTTCCCGTGCAACGTATGTACCATCGCATAATGCATTCAGCATGCTCTGACGACTATGCAGACCAATTGCAGGCCGTGTAGAACTTGGCAGTATGCATCTTCACATGGTCGGTAGCCCTCTTCGCCTTGAACGCCGCCGCGGCGCGCGCTTCACTATACATGCCGAGGAAAGGACGTTGCTGGCTCAAGGAATTGGCTCCAGGAACCTGGAAACTATGGCAGATGCTAGAAATCCTTACAAGAGGAGACCTTGATGGCGCTGGTGCTGATGACTGAGCTGATGCGTATCCCTAAGGCTCCTGCTACTCACAGCAAAACTTGTCAGCAGCTCATGAGACGACACGAGACGACATGAGAATAGACACATCTAATCATCGTACGATCAAACGGAAATAGTATTGCGGCAGAAGTAGCCAAGGACGCCCTAGTGCTCAGTGCGGCCGTACATGTTGCTCTCTGGTAGATGAGCCACCGCTATCCATAGTGTATGAATTACGGTACCCAGCAGCCTGTTTTAACTCTGCAGGTACCCCTTACCGCGTGTTGGTTTGAGAGGCAGGTAATAACGGTGCAGTACATATGGTCTCGCGTCCTTGTGGCACAGCACATGGCGACACTTGGAATGCATGGCACTTGTTCGAGAAGGAGCGAATTGTTCGCACAACGCCCTTGTAAAGGATTACAACGGTCGCCGATGTATTTGCGCAGTTGAGGAACCTTCAAAAGGACTGATTCAAAGAGCAGCCTGGTAGTAGATCAGCCTCGCGGCGTTGGCATGGACCTAGTGTTCGGATACACGGACCACCACCGGGATTAATTCAGCCGCCAGCAACGGCTGCACCGCAGCACGCAAGAGTAGGATGGTAATATCCGCCCATCTTATCGCCAAATTGCGTTACAAAGGACGATGTCGTAAACTCTCGTACATAGGGCCTTCGGCAGGCTGCCCGTCCTATCCAATCACCCCCGATCCTGGCTTATCATTCAGGCCAAAGCGACTATACCGCTTTGATCCTGTCTCTTATCAGCCACCAAGACCCTGAGAGTTTACCTCACCCTTTGGTACAAGCGCGACCGTGGCTTACGGGTCCTTGGCCCTTTGAGACATCCAGTCCGGCGCGCTTGATTTCTTCGCATTCCTTCGCGGCACCGAATCTCAGGCCAAATACAGCCACCCAAGCCAGAAGCTCCACATTGTAAGCTCGGCTCCATCACTATGGGATTGGGAACGCCCTGCTTATCGCTGCCAAGACGGGCCATGTTCGACGTTGGGGGCACAGCAGCTTCGCATGTGTGGGCGTCAAAGGCGAGCAGGGGCTCAACGGCGCATCAATCTCGGTCCCTTGAAATTGGCGGAATGGCGTGAAAGAACGGGTGGGAAGATATATCAGCCTGGAGAGCCCCTGCCCATCCCGTCTTTCCTTTCCAGAATACCCCAGAGGTCCCAGTCCTGGTCGATATACCGACATGTCTTCAATCATGGAGCCACCACCCACCGTAAGTATCCCCAGCTAGTACGGCAGCCTGCCATGCAGCATGAATAACAATCGTGTAGCCCGAGTTCGATCCGGCGAAGCCTAATGGCGGCAACCCAGATGTCGAGAATATCAACCTTCAGTACACAGGCCTGGAGTTCCACTACATCTATCTCATGATTATGGCCTTCCTTGTGTTCCTCATCATACCTGGAATCGGCTTCCTCTACTCTGGTCTTTCTCGTCGCAAGTCTGCCCTGTCCATGTTGTTCCAGTCTTTTGCAGTCATGGGAGTTGTTACCTTCCAATGGATGTTCTGGGGCTACACGCTCGCGTATTCTCGCACTGCCAGTCCGTTTATTGGCAACATGGATAACTTTGGCCTCAAGAACGTCATGTCTGCGCCATCTCCAGGCTCATCGTTCTTGCCCGAGATCGTCTTTTGCCTGTATCAGATGCTCTTCTGTGCATGCACTGTGCAGCTCGTCGTCGGTGGATCATTTGAACGCGGTCGCATCCTACCTTCAATGGTTTTTGCCTTCTGCTGGGCGACTATCGTGTACTGCCCCATCGCATGCTGGACATGGAACGCGTAAGTCTCGCGATTATGTTTATCGAACCGAACTAATTGGATTATAGAAACGGTTGGCTATTCAACCTTCCTTCACTTGACTTCGCCGGTGGAGGTCCCGTTCACATCGCCTCCGGCTGGTCCGCCCTCGCATACGCTTTCGTCCTCGGCAAGCGTCTACACAAGGGTGACAAGATCCACGGAAAGGCTCACAACCCCACACTTGTCTTCATAGGCACTGTCTTCATCTGGTTTGGGTGGTTCGGCTTCAACGGAGGTAGTGCTCTCAATGGCACAGTCCGCTCTATGCTGGCGGCGTTCAACACCAACACCGCCGCCAGTTTTGGCGTGCTTGGTTGGGTATCGGTTGAGTACGTCCGTACCAAGGGTCACTTTTCCGTCGTCGGTGCTTGCTCTGGAGCCATCGCTGGTCTTGTTGGTATCACTCCCGCTGCAGGTTATGTTTCTGTGTGGATTGCTGCCCTGATCGGCTTTCTCACTGCGGCCGTCTGTTCTCTTTGCCAGAACGTCGACAAGTGGATTAAGATCGACGAGGGCATGGATGTCTTCAAGCTCCACGGAATCGGTGGCATGGTTGGTTCATTCCTCACCGGCATCTTCGGCCAAGCCTGGATCTATGACCTTGACGGCATGGGTCCCTACGACGGCCTCGGTGGCATGGACGGTGTGGGCGTTCAGATCGGCCGCCAATTGGCCGAGATCGTTGCCATCGCCTCCTACTCTTTCGTCGTCTCCTGCATTCTTCTGTACATCCTGAAGTTCATTCCTGGCATGCATCTTCGTGTCACCTCTGAGGCTGAGATGATGGGTCTGGACTACGACCAGTTTGGTGGTGAGCAGATTGGCGACTGGAGTATAATGGACCAGAACCACTACGAGGCGAATGTCAGCAGCTCAAGCAGCCAGAATGTGCCTACATCTGTTCCTGCGGCAGCGGTCGGAAAGCAATCGTAAGAGTTAGTGGTGAGCGCCTAGTACTAGGTGTTGGCGCAGCGCGGGCAGCGCTGCAGTTGGCTGTTAAGATTGCATAAGAATTCCACAACGAAGGCTCTTCAACTGGCGATCATCACACGGTGTAGACGGAGACTTTATCAAATCCATAGATTTATCACTCATAGATATATTAATCGTCGTTCATTCCCTAGTCTCAACTATGCATCTGTCGTTATACTAGTCCCGAACAACTCACTAATGTGCTAGTCTTGGAGGGAACAGATCGTAATCTGTATCTTCGTCTGATGAATCATCATCTGACCCAAAGACGGTCTCTCGACGTCCGGCGACAGGTCGGTATCCGACGAAGGGCGCCCCACTCGAAGGTGAAGTCATCAGAGACACCGAACGTGTATGAGAGAATCCACGAGCCGCGCCGAAATTTGGCTGTAACGCACATTTCAGCGTGCGAGACATCACAACTTTGGACTGTCCGGTCAAGCTCGTGGTCCCTGAAAGTGGCACGCGCATCCGATTTCCGCGGCCACAAATGAGCGATTTGATGGAGATAGGAGCCCTTGGAGTTACAGGAGGAGATACCGAGGATGACGATGTAGACGTTGAGCAACCGCGCTTCGATGATGAAGAGTTGACATCCGTGCTTGAGGAAACCTTAATTGGCATTGTGACATGTAGGGCGGCATGCTTTGTCGTGTCCAATTTACTGACATTGAAGCATGTATTGCCGGTAGCAATCATATCGTCAGAAAGTCTCAGTACCACCAATTGCGCACGTCGCAGCTTTAGAGACTGCGCAACGTCATGTCGAAATGGGAGGAGTTCCTCAGCGCTGAAGTCGCCCGTATCCCGAGTGAGTCCGGCGAAGAAGTCTATCATGAACTTTTCGATTTTCGTGTGGGTGCCAATGTGGTTCTCCAAGTATAGGAAGGGTTCGTGTTCTAGGGGTATTTGGGCTTGAGCGTCCAGTAGCTCAAGGTAGAATGCGCGATAAGTATCTACAAGCTTGTTTTGTAATCGTACATCGTCGATCATATCTGCGAGGCACCACGCCTTGGCCAGCTTAAGCATCGTGTCACAGCTACCTGTGAGCTGCTTTAGTGGGTTTTTTGCGCTTGGTCGCAGTCGCCGTATCAGACTGCTGCTGCCCAAGTAGTCCAATATGATCTCAAAGACATCGGCGTCGGTATTCATAATCCTGCATCCCTGTACGAGACGCGCGCGCAGTACTGGGCATGCCTTCAGGGCCGAGCCAGGGATATGGATAAAGCGCGCATAGGGTGGTTTACCCACTCGAACTTCGATGTCGTTGGTGTTCGGGACTTCAGTGCGCACCTTCGCTGGAGAAGTATAGACAGTGGCTATATCTGCACTTGAGGAGCTTGTATAGGACCGTCCGTTAGAGTAAGACTGATCACCTAGTGTCGCCTGAAGTGAAGTGAGCATTGTCGAGATACAATCAGGGGTTTTCTGTTCGGGTTGAAAGCGTGGGATAGAGTTGAATATTGAGGCGGGTAGATCGTGCCACCAATCTCTAATGTTTGTTGGAAGCTGGAGAAGTGAATGAGAAAGTGGTGCAGCATTAATACACATGACCTGTATATGAGATCCCATGGGCAGGGCTGTCAATACGACTTGGGAGGTTCAGGATTCGTGGTTCCTCTGGTTCAGTGGTGAACGAACCAAGGTACATGCTTCGTTAAATTATCTACACATTTTGCTTTCTCTCAAGCTGTGTCTGACGTTGGGCGTCGGGAGAAGCTCACAAGTGTTGAACACGTCTCTTCAAGTATAACTCAACATGGTGTAAATGAAGCCGCACAGTCTCCGTACTCATAGAAGCCATATAATACGGGTGCCCTGCGGATGTTGCGAACGCCGAGGATGGATTCAAACACCTTGCGTGAGTAGCACCGCAAACTTCATCCGCTGCGTAATGCTAGCACCTGGGTTGGTCGATCGAACGAACATTCGCGAAGAGTCATTGCACAGCGCGCATGGTGTTGTGGGAGCCACAGTAAAATACTGCTGCGTGACCTATGAGCAGCTCGAAGTTACCAACAACGACTGCTGGATCCCAATTTGGAAGCTCCTCAGAATGCACGGTCCATTTGCGTTGGTAGATAAGGCGCTGCTACGGATACGCAGATGTGATTGTTGTGCGAAGGAGTGCACTCTTGATTTGCAAAGTTCCAGTGGTGATGGAGGCTGATGCCAGGTGTAGAAGAGGGCAGAGGGAACCGGCACGCCGGGGATCCAGGAGACAGATTTGCACGGACCATACGCTAGTCGGCCCGATGCCAAATGCAAACCTCGCGTCATCGCCCCTACATCTCAACCACGCGCAACAGTTACTCGCGCCTCATGTTTGCATCCAAGATTGCCGGGTCATCATTGCGGCCCGCGTGCTACGCGTCTCGGTTGCCGGCGGTTTCTACCTTCCGTCCTGCTGTATCACAACTCCGCCACCTTTCCAAAAATCGCGTACTTCGTGACCAGCAAAGGAATGATGCCCAAAAGCCTACACACGAGCAACCATCTGTCTTGGTAGACGTATCACCGCCCATCGATCATACTACCGAAAACGCAACACCTGAAAGTCCTAGGAGGGTTAGATACCTGCGCCCCGCACTATGGGCTCTGTCGGTATCCTGCGGCATATTCTACGGTCTCGCCTATCTAGAGGCCAAGAGGGAGCTCAAAACAAAGCCGACATCTAGTGGAGGGTGGTTTCAGGCACCGCAATGGAACACAACACAACGCGGACCTCCGACCCCAACTGAAGTCATAACTGGAGCGTGGACCGGTCTCGATCCCGTTTCGCGAGTCACGTACGGACTTATCGGGGCCAATAGCGGCGTTCATCTCAGCAGCTTTCTCGTGCCTAAAGCCTGGGATGCACTATGGCATACACCTGCTCGCAACGTCAACTACACTCAATTCACATCCATGTTTGTACATGCTGGAGCTTTGCATTTTTTCGTCAACATGTATTTCTTGAACAACTTCATGGCACCAGTCGGATACTCGCGACTGTTCGAGGGTAGCCCGTATCATACGTTGTCGTTCTTCCTCTCGGCAGGTGTGCTGTCGGGCTTTGCTCAACACTGGCAGACATGGAGTACCCGCATACCTTTCCATCGACGGCCCATCCCCGAGATCTTCATCAAGTCCGGAGGTGCATCAGGAGCACTTTTTGGAATATTAGGGGTGTTCTGCATGCAATACCCGAACGCTGGAATAGGGATATTGTTCATTCCAGTACACTTCGATGCGCAATATGTACTGCCTGCGATCCTTCTTTTCGATCTCGTTGGCATCATTCGCGGTTACAGCTTCGTGAACTTTGGCCACGCAGTAAGTTCAACGCGCATGACTCCACGGGACTTACTAACATCATTAGGCTCACTTCGCCGGCGGGATGCTTGGCATAGCATATTCATACTTTGATGGCAAAACAAACCTTTGGAAACCGCTAGTGCGCCACTGGAAACGCCGCCTACAGTCCTAGATCGCTGGGGGATTGAAAATCATGAAGGACAAATCAAACGACCAGTTGGAAAGCTGCAAACTTTCAGACAAAGTACAACGTCGTCGAAAGTCCTAACAAGCCACATCCACGATGGACACTCCTCTCAGTACATGCATTAGGACAAAGAACACAAACATTATCAAACTCCACATCTGTCCAATGGATGCGCAGTCGTATTTACACCGGAAACATCAGACGACGTATTTCTTTCACGTGGTACAAACCGATGATACTGTGGCCGATAGCTTATAAGAGCAGGAATCTCACAAGCCCATTGTCTTCTCGAAAAAGACATCGCAACCATCAGAGACTCACACGATCATCCGACACTAAAACATGCCTTTCAAGATACCGAATGACGGTGTCACTATTACGGTCAAATCCGACAACGGGCACCTTGTTCCGATCGAGCTCAATGATCGCGTACTCAGAAACTGTCCGGTAATCAACGCAATGCCCTCGGGTATCATACTACCAAACGTGCAAGTGAAGCCTTTTCAGGTCGTGACGAATTATCTGGATGGCGACCATCTCCCATCGGTCTTCGCGAGTCACGTCGACAGTAGTGCGCCTTTGCTCCTCTTCGCTCAAACGTGGGCGCTCGCGGCGCGACTTGGTCTTCCTATCTTGCAGAATGAGCTCATATCGGTTATGACCGATATTCACGCCAGAATCATTAACGGGAGCGGAACAGACTCGCATTGGCAGAACACTGCCGATGGGTCTCTCGTCAAAGCTTTCCTGCATCTTCGAGAACAGGTCGGGGCGAATAGTCATGCCGAAAAGTTCCTTATATGCTTCGTCGGCAAAACGGCACCGTTCATCAGCGAACTGGAACAAAATCTCACCCGCGAACATCTCGACCCTGCTATCCGAAACGAAATATTGGAGAAAGCACGATCCTTCGGTCAGGATCCCATTAAACATCAACCACAAATGTTCCGTATCAATCCTCAACAGCCACCAAAATATCGACCCCTTGAGCAAGACTGTAACGACACAGGTATGGCTGATGGGTTTTGGTCACCCTCCGGGTCGTCACGCTCAATTACCAGGGACGACATGTGGAATGTGCCTCCACAACACCCTAGATCTCCGAAATTCATGTACCCGCGGCCACGCAGCCCGCTTTCCAATCGATTCGACCACGGCTCAGGTCCACTGGTATGCACACAGCCTGGAGACCCCAGTGATCCAGATCCAGGGTACACATCGCAGGCCATCAATTTCGATGATCGCAATCTTCCCACTGGCGCTGGTGTTAACGTGATCCGACTGACAGGTCAAGACCCAGGCGGCCCACGATCGCTACCTTCCCCGGCCAATCATCATCATGACACCACATTACCCTACATCATCCAAATCACGCAGCACAACGATAACGCTCATGGAAACGGGAACCACACTCACTATGGCGACAAACACAGTACGACTGCACATGCTCAGGGTGGTAGTAGTGGACGCTCAAATCGGACTGTACGAGCAGTAGCGGATAGCGGAGAACGGCGCTACAAGCTCATCAGGGAGAGGAAGGGAAAGCAATCCAAATGGTTTTCGCTTTTGGCATACGGCAGCAAGTACTACTAGGAGCAAAGCGCGTGTTGCGAATGCCTTTGGTTTGATTGGTAGACTATTTGTTCACGTTCGCACATGCCGATGCGTCATTATTATGTAGCTCCAATCAATAACTCGCTTATCAATCAAGACCTTTTGTTACCATGGAACGTTCAATCTTTATGCGCGATACCACACCCCAAAGAACCAACTCCTGACCCTCTCCCTCTTGCTCATCCTGCTTTTCGCACTACCCATCTTTAGCTTATCGCTTTCCTGACGAATTAGCTCTATGCTATTGACGGTGCGCAAGGCAAGACCACCCAGGCCTTCGATATCCACCTCTTCTTCGCCCTCTTCCGGGAACGCCTCATTGCACACGTTTTCTAGATCGCTCTGACGAGAACAAAATCCAATCCTCGTTCTCTTTCGTCTCTCGACGACGAGACTGTCGATTGCACGGAGAGCTAGGGAAGAGGTGACTTCAGCGTCTTCGGTCTCCTCTTCAGTTGTGTTGTATTGTGTCTCTGGTCTTGGAAACGAAGGCGCTCTTGCGTGACAGCGTGTGAGTGGGTATGTAGAAGCGTGGACACGGCTGTGTGCGGAGTCGGTTGGAGATGACATGTCTGCGTAATGTGCGCTTGATCTTTGGATTTTGGAATTTGAAGGTGTTCAGTAGTAGTTGAAAGCTGATATGGCTGTCGCTTTGATCAAGGCTGGAGATAACCGGTAGCGTGGAGGGCTGAGATTAAGTAGAGTGTAGCAGAGGAAGAAGGGATGCTGAGATGAGAGAATTAGAATTGAGAGAAAGAGCAGACGACTTATAGCAGATTAAAGAGTCAGAGCCTGTGGCTTCTTTTTCTTTCAAACTATGGGAGCCATGATGATGGTACCTTGGTTTGACTTTTCCATATGCCCATACATTGGTTCCAAACATGCCATCTCCTATTTCACATTACTCATCCCTCATCTCTCATTGGAAGCGCGAACTTTACGTCAGATGTACCGACTGTACGCCAAAACAGCCACTCGTATGGTACGAGCCTCAAAGCACGCGTCGCATCTCATCAGATATCGGGAAGTCAACGTCGGCTCCCGCTAACTTGATGCCAAGCGCCCTGACCTTCTCTTTCAGTTGCTTCTGTAACTGTGCAGGCATGGAAGGCAGCCCACCAAGTTCTTTAACCTTCTCCCTAATATCGGGAGGTAGCAGTGTCAGGTAGTCCATGTCGGGTGAGCTCATCATCTGCCTAAACTTCTCGTCAAGCATTCCTTCGAAATCTTCCGCCTTCAGCCCATATGAAGAGCTGCAAAGATGCTCTGTGGGGATATCAGCATAGCCTAGTCCACGTAGCGTCTGACATGCGAGTATCTTCATCTGCTGTTCACATGATGTGCAGTACCAGCGCGACACCTTCTCCACACCGAGCTTCTTTACACATGACTTGTGAAAGTACGTAGTAGTACAGTCGCGATGTGAGCAAACGACAGTGTCCTTCGCGAGTAATCCGCCCTTTGGTGCAGTAGCACGACAGTAGCAAATGCGCTCCGTACCTGGACGCTCGAGTTCGTTGTGCTGGATATCCTGTAACATGACCTGAGTGAGCTCCTGCTTGTTGAATCCGTTCTTTGCGTAAAGTCGCTCGAATCGAAGCTCTTGAGCCATTAGTGCGCCAGGATTGAAGCCATTCTTAACGTCGTCGTACTCCTTCTGCAGACGATCAGGTGCGCCATCTGGGTTGCGATTGCGCGCTCGAATAGTAGGGTCTTCCATGAGATAGCTGATCAGGTCATCGTCTACTAGCATCAAGCGGCCCTTGGTCCGATGATCCTTCTCGTACAGTGATAGTAGTTTCTCTCCACGGAGGCGGTTGAAAGGCCCGGTGCTAAATAATTCTAGGCATGGCATCACCAGGTAGCATTGATCTCCCAGAGGATCAACACAGGGACAATCTACGTCAGAGTCAGTATCTGCTGCTAAGTGCCAGTTGCGATGCACTTACGAGGCTCATGGAAGGGACAATCAAGAATGTCATTGTTCTCAAACGAACATGATGTGCTGTGTGAACAACCATCCCATGACGGCGGGAACGGATTTGTGAGTTGATCGCTAATAAATTTGCGGGCAAATCTAATCCAGTGCATGTGCTTGCCGTGTTTTGTGATAGGTAGTAGAGGTTCAGGCAGAGGTACTGGAGACACTCCCTTAGCGAATGTCGCGTCCGTGGAGATTGGCTCTGATACTACCTCAGTGGAAGCATCGTGATCATTGGCGCTCTCCGTGTACGATAGCACATCTTGAGAACTATCGCGGTCCTTGTTGTAGAGTATAGTCTCAGGTAGCATGGAAGCAGATTGTGCTAAGACGTCACCCACGTCGTAGACGTCTTCAGTGGCTTCGTTTCGGAGATCAGGAAGACTGATAGCTGCCTCCGGTATAGACTGCTTCTTTGCCTTGCGCTTCGCCTCTCGTGCCTTCTTAGCCTTCTTCTTCTGCGAGATTGCGGGATGGCCGTTGACAGAGTCTTCCGTCTCGGTCGTAAAACTCTCGGGTGCTGACATACCCCAAGCCTTTGGAGGCTTTACTGCTGGAGCTGAGCTATAAGGCTCATCTGAAGAGCTCCGCGAGGCTGAGAGGTTTGGGAAGTCGCGCGAATCGGAAAGCCATGGAGTCGGTCCAGGCCGAGGAGCACGAGCCGGAGGCTTACTTGGAATGTTACCCCAAGCGCGCGTCTTTGCTACCGATTTTGTTGGCGTCACTCCATTCGTGACGACTTGCCATCCATCAGGAGCTTGTTGTGACTTCTTGATCCGGCCAGGCACTGTAGTCGGCCCCCGCTCTGAAGCCTTGACGTTGATCACCAGAACCGCAGCCGACTGTCTGTTCAAGGTTGGGGCGGGTGGCAAAGGTAATAGCGGAGTATGATAGGGCTCAATATCTGCATGGTAGAGTCCATCGTCGCCGCTCACGCGCTTGTGGTTGCTCTGAAGATGCCTTCGGTCGGAGATGTCAAGGGTACTAGACCGCGGCGGCGACTGGTCATCGTCCTGATCACTGGATTCCTGTCAGTTTTGAAAATAAATGAATTGCGCAACGAAGTTGGCCAGCGTCTTGTCGCAATGTTGCGGGACTAAATGAGGGCAAGGGCAACGAACCTGACCAGTGGAGCAGTCTCATCCGTGGGGGTGATACCGCCACTGAAATCACTCAGACTAGACGCGAACTTCTCTCCAGTTTTCCAGTCCTTTCCAGTATACCTCTCTTCTACAATACCGTACGCGGTCTTACTAGTGTATCGGAGATAGCCTGCTCGTCGCATTCGCACTTCGGCAGTGTCTTTCTTGACCAGAACGATGTCCTCCAGGACGGCGTGCTTGAAGGTTTCGACGAGGCCTTGGAACATCTTGAGTTCTTTGCCTTGTAGACCCTTCGTTCTGGTGTTACGCCTGAGTAGCTCGTTGATACGGAAGGTTTCCAAGATGCGGTCCATTTCGGCTTCGAAGTCAACGTTTAAAGACTCGACAGGCGCCTCGGCGAGCTTTCTGATTCCCTTGCGGCCGACTTGCGTGCTGTATACATGGGCGTGGTACTGTGAAGTAGTCAGTAATTTGACAGAGTAGATACCAAAACAACAGACTCGGCACCTACACGAAGCTGTCGCTCAATCTCCTCGATCTCTTCCGGATTCCGCGGCCCGTCCGCGTCGTTGCTCGTTATGCCCTCAGCTGAATGTACAACGGAGTCGATGTATCTAATCTCCTCCTGCGTAATGACTCTAGATCTACTAGCCGCTCTTGCCAGACGCTTTGCATCCTTCCGCTCACGCTTTGAGGATGGAGTGTCCTCATCGCCGAGATCTCTCGCTGTTCCACGTTCTTCTAGCTCAGATTCGTCCGGCACGATGTTCCAGTCGATCTCGCCACAACTCTCATAGACGGCTCGTAAGCGCTCGGCAATGTCGTGATGACGCTTGTAGTGTTGCTCATCAATGCCCATGCAGTACTTGCAAGTATGACCGCGAAGTCGCATGAACATGGCCTGGAGAGGTTAGTGCATCGTTCGCCTTGGGTATATCCCATGCAACTAACCTGGTGGAAGCGCACGCATGGCTCGCTGTGCTTGCCGAAACAAGACGCCCTCGCGCCGGGGTGGCTCAACGGACGCTCGCAAAAGCCGCAGTGGTGTCTATTGGATTATCATTAGCGACCGTCTGCTTTGGGTGGTTGCCTCCGGACTGCGTTCCGGTGGCCCAAACAAACAAACACCGGGCTCAGCAACTCACTTGAGCGCCTCCGAATCCTCCCACTTGAAAAGAAGACTGTTGACCATGTTAATTTTGTTTGCGCTTTCGAGATCGATCGCGACCTGGATAGGCTGATGGCGGGGAGGCAGAGCCGCTAGGATTGGATGCTTTGAGAGTGTGAGCGAGAAATGCACGCGCGATTGAGAGGATAATTCTGCTTGGACACGGAGTGCAGTAGAGAAGACGCGCAATTGTTTGAGATTGTGCGTGGCAACGTAGCGGGGCGAGGTGCAATGGCTGTTGACTGGTGTAACAGCGCATCCAGGGTTGCTCCGAGGCTGGCTACGTAATTGTGCGGAAAGAGCGAGTGACTGCGACAACACAACAATGAAAGATTTCTGTAGAGACAGCAACCAACGAGACTTGCGCAAATATCAATTGTGTTCGATCAAAAAGAGTGCCTCCGGGTCGTTGTAAGGAAACGACTCGTCGTCGTTGCGGTGAAGAATGCAGTGAACCGACCATCCGCGAGGTTTCGCGTTGTTGCATCATAACGGCCAGGATTAGACAGGATTTTGACACCATACAAACGCGAAGACCACGAATCAAGTACCACTTTTAAACATCCGACACAATGCGCGCACCTGCCCAGACATAGGGATAGTTGCGTTGGTACCAGTTGACACTTCGACACGTTAATCATGTGGTCTCATCTGCAGCCACTGTTGTTCACTTACAAGGTCTTACGCCCAGCGATGCGCGGATGCGTCGCCCACGATCCACCCAGCGTGACGTTGTGTTTACCGTCGAAGAAATCGGCTGCCTACTGTCAGCGATATCATCTCATGATGTGTTGAGGAGCAGAAGCCCGTCGCATCGCATCATACCTGTATAGCCTGGATACAACTCCATCGGCTCGAAGCCGTCATGCTTCTCCAGCACAGTGCTAGTCCACTCCCAAACACCACCCAGGTCAGATTGGCCGCAGAGCTTGTTGCCCTTCTCGACCACTGAGACTGGATGCCAGTGTTTGAAGCCCACATTCGTTCCCTCAAGGTCAACGAAAAGATTGCGTGGGTTGAGACTAGATACTGCGCCAGAGGCGCCGTTTGACAAAGCTCGGGATGGTGGTGTCTCAAAAACGCCTTCGTTGATCAAATGGCTGCAGACTGTTAGTCAAGAGTCTACGACGATGAATGACAGGCATCATACCCGTTCACGGCTGGAATTCTGTTTCCAAGCGAGCTCTCAAATTCCGGCTTCATGCTGTCGACATAGCTGTAGATGCTTCGTGCTTCTTCCATGGTAGGGATGCGACCGCCCATCCAATGCGCACAACCAGCTAATTCGTCGTAGGAGGCGACTACCGGCCATCCCATGACAAATTTCAAGGGAACAGTGCCGTAGACGGTGCGTACAAATTTCCCTTCGGTGATGCTCTGAGGTGAGGCATTAACACCTTCATGGTGGCCGTTTACCACGCTGTCTCTCTTGCCAGTGCTCAGATCCTTGGCGTTTGAGTATGGCTGTTCGCACCACGACGCAGGTATGGCTGGATTCGACAAGTTAGCAGACGAGCTCAGACTTTTGATCAATACACGCGACAACTCCCGCTGCAAAGATTACATACCTGTCTTTCCTGTCTTGGACAGATATGTGGCATACTCCCCATTTGTGATTGGCCGAGCCTTTGCGCGGAAGGACTTGACATGTGCTGAGCGGTGAGGTCTCTCGTTATCCCAGCCAAAGTAACGCTTGGTCTCAAAGTCTTTCTCTGGGTCTTTGAGACCGATGTCGATGTCCGCTTCGGGGATTGTGAACCACTCGTTAGCGGTTGCTAGGGTCTCAGATTGCGCAGCAAACGCCGAAAAGTCTGGGAGTTTGGTTCCTGGAGGTGGCAAGACCTTGTCACTCTGAATCAGCATGTAGAGCAATGTCTCCAGGTGCATGGCTTCATGTTCAAAGCCAATCCACAGTGCTCGCGACACGCGACCGTTCGACTCTGCTTCTCCCGAAGTGTACAGCGCCTCAACCTTTTGTCGCACAGTCTCTTGAAACTTCAGGATTGTCTCCAGCGGGGGCCACGCTTCGGGAACCTCGGAGTGAGCATGACATTGAGTTGGGTCTTCAACATCAGGGTCAACACCACGTTCAAAGATCTTCCAGAAGTAGGCGGGGTCTGACGGCTTGCCATCGGTGGCACGGGCGATGTGGATGTCCAAGAATGTAGGGATGTGGCCAAGGTAGAAGATGCACTCGTTGCGAAGCTTGATCGGCTTAGATAGTAGCTCTTCTTCGGGTATCATGTCCTTCGTGACCGCGTCCCAGGCCGTCCAAAGCTCACGCCACTCGGTCAAAGATGGCACCGGGTTCGCTGCGTACTCCTCAGGCTTGGTAGGGAAGAACATTGCAGGCTTCGAGACGAAATGCAGGCCGTAGTCGCCCTTCGAGTTTGCCCACACAACGTTCTCTGCGAGTTTGGCCAATTCCCAGAGCTCCTTTGCTTCCTCGCGACTGTACTTGTAGGATTCTTCGATACGAACTCTCTCGCCCTGCTTGATATGAACACCGTCGACGACAGTGTCTTTGCGTGGTGCGACAAAAGCGTGATGTCTTCCAGCCTGTTCGTCGTACTCTCCAATGGCTTCCCAGTCCTGGATGTCGAAAGCTTCCTCGCCCATGAGTGCGTTTGCGTGCTTCAGCCCGTTGAGAATGAACTTGTGTGTTACACCGCCGCGATCGTTGTATGCATGGTAAACACGCTAGTATAGGAATCTGATCAGTGGGTGTTTGCATGCCTGTGGGGACAATAGATTTACCTCGGGATCCTTGCATGAATCGATACCGATAAGCATGGTATCGCCAGTCTGGAGAACCGCACCAAATCCAGCAAGGAATGGCGGTACTTCATGGCGCTTGAAATTGCCCAAGCTTGAGCCCAGCCAAAGGATAGTTTTCGGTTTCGCTTCGATTTCGGGAGTCTTCAGCCACTCAAGGGCATCATCATAGGTGCCATAGAGGCCAAAGCATTTGACGTGCTTGTACCCTTCTGCGTGCTTGATTAGCGAGTTTCGGCAGTTCGCATTGGCCGGTATTGCGCAATGATAAGGAGATAAGTGTCCGGGCCACTACTACGTTGAGGTGCATGTATGCAGGCTCATGTAGGTCTAAGCCAGTTTCACAGGAAACTGATGCAAGCGTGTCGCACTATACAAACCCCTCGACTCCCCTCAATGTTAAGCATGATAGAATGAATCCTCACCTGTAGGTATTTCCCCAAATGTTCTCTCCAGCTCCGGCAGGGAAAGGTCGACAGCGTAGTACTCGACGTCTTTGCCAAGACGGTCGACGGCTTGCAAGAGTATGTTGACTTTTCTGAGGTTGCTGCAAACACATTAGTATTCACGAAGCACAGGGCTCGTTTCCAATCTCTTGCGCAGTGCGAGCCAGGACCGTACCCGCTCCCCAGTTCCACGACAATGGACCCCGTCGGGATTCGTTCGGCGATTTTCTCCGCATACGTCTCGAGGACTTCAATCTCGGCATTCGTTAGGTAATACCTAACATTGCGAACATTCATCAGCTTGGTGTTCATATAAACCAAGCGTGAAGCTGCTCACTCCTCTTGGTACGTGATCTCTTCGAATAGACGAAGGCCTTCTTGGCTAACAGCAGAGACAAAAGGTTAGCGTGCATCATGGGCTGACTAAATCGTTGCTTACTCGTAAAGCAGCAACGTAGGCAGCTTTTTTTCGCCGCCACTCTCAGGCCGAAGGCCTTTCTTGATATCAGCGAGGATATCCGACTCGGCAGTGTCCGTGCGTATATCGATTATTTTGGTCGCCATCTCTCTGGGGTGTTTGGTATTGAATGCTGTAGTCACTCGGTATGCCCCTCAAGAGCCGGTCTACTAGATGCGTCTTATGCCGAGGGTCGCGCGATACTTATACAGCGCGTAAAAGTACGTAATGTGGGTACTCGGACGCTTATGCCGTGCGGTAGCTGACGGTAACTAGAGGGCCGGTAACTGTTCAAACGGAATAGTGTAGAATGCAATGCTCCGTCAGAACGTGTACTGTTTGGCTAGCGGCTGTGGTGGTAATATCACTCGCAAACACGCGACAAATCAGACACGGTTCCTTCTCACGGTCAACGGCGGTGCGAGAAAAACGCCTGTTCGAGTCGAGCACATCATCGGCAACAACCCCACCGAGGCAATCTACTCTGGTACCAATGCCATCCGTAGGCATGGTAGCTGGAACATCAAGCATTGCTACGAGACCATAATGATGACGTCAATGTGTGCCGGCTAGGGAAAGGACGGAAGTCCGGGAGCAAAGGCAAAGAAGGCCTCGAAAACCAACGCCAAACCACAGCGTTCAGGAACACGCTGCAGGGTAGGCTGAGGCTGTTCCTCGGTCGCAAACTCTCGCCGACTGTAACATGTTCGTGGATGACCACACTGCCTGCTGCGGGGTCGATGCCTTGCTGCATAAGCGATGCCGTCACAGTGGAGTCGCGAACTTGTTGACACATTACCGTGCGCTCAACCATGGCTGGGCATGGCAACGTGATTGGGAAGGCGGGCGACTTGTTGGACGCGGTTGGCATTGGCGTAGACGGCATGGAGAGTGTCAGGTACAAGCGTATTGACAAGCAGAAACATGTGGGCAGCAACAGTGACGACGTCTGGTGCAGGATCATCACGTGATCGGCTGCGAGCCTTGGCTTCAGTCGATGCACGGCTGGGCAATAATAAGGTTACGATGACGCGAGGTGCAACACCGCCGCG